CTGACCGGTAACGGGATCGCAACCCTCGGTGTCACGCCCGTACCGGGGACCGGCAACGGGATCGCAACCCTCGGTGTTGCGCCCGCACCGCGCTCAGCCAGTGAGCGGGAACCGGTCTCCACATGGGATCCGAACCCTCAGCGGGAGCACTGCCGCGCTCCCAAGCGGCACACTCTCCAGTGCGCCACCGGGCCGGCCCCGGGAAAGGCATTTTTAATCTTTGTTAGTGAGAAGGTAGAATAGCGGAAGCAATTTGACAATATCTATCAAAATTTACAATGCATAATCTCTTTGACCCAGTAATTACATTCTTGGGAATTTATCCTGATATATACATATCTCTGGAAAATGATATTTACAATTTTTTTTGAAGAACTGTTTCTAGCATAGTAAAAGTCAGCAAAAACCTAAGTTTACAATGGGGAACTGGCAAATAAACTGTAATATGCCCATACAGTAGAATACAATGTAACCATTTGAGAATCTGAGGCACCTCTATATGAACTGACATGGAATGATTCACAAGAACTGGGAACATGGCTCACTTCCAGAAAGGTAATTGGTTGGCTGAGGTTTAGGGTAGGAAGAACCTTCTGTATCTTTTCAATTTTGTACCATGCACAGATACTATATATTCAAAATAATTATTTTTAGAATAATGCCTGTAGGTCTCAGCAAAATGTACATGTAAGTAGAAAAGTTTTAAAAAAGCTGGACTGGAAAACAGAAAGAATAAAATGCAATTTCAGTAACTATTCTCAAAACCTAAGCAGGTTTTTCAAAGTAAAGAACAAAAAAGTAAGTTTTATTTTACTTCAACCTTGATGCCCAATATCTGCTAAAAACTGGAGGGGGTGGAGGGGGGAGACGATGACGACAGGGAAAAATTATTAAGGAATTATCATAATAATCTGATCAACAAAATCAAGTCAAGATACATAACAGAATTTCAAAACTATAGATTAAATAAATGGCTGAACTCCAGAGATTATAGAGGATACTTCCTTCTCTGGGCATCTTAAACCCTGTGGCCTATATCTTATCATCCATTCTGATGAATTAATACCAAATCTCTGGTAAGGATGACAATTTCACATCTCCAGTCCTGACTCTTCCACACAAGCTGCAGACTCATTTAGCCAACTATCTGACAAATTATCCTGGAAATCTAATAGGCATCTCAAGTTTGTATTTGCAAAGTGACGTTCCTCTCAAACTTAATTCCCTGTATGATGTCTACCTAAACAGCAGTTCAAGCCAGAAA